CCCCAATTCCCCAGCACTGTTCCCATCCCAATTCCCCAATAAAAATCTTTAAAAAAAAAGGTCACTAGTTTAAAAAAAAAAAATCTCAAAATAATGGAAGAAAAGTTTGGGAAGGATAATGGATCTCCAAGCATATCAGTGCTATGGTGATTCCAGGTCAGAGCTGGGAAATGAATCAGCCTAAACAGCCATGGTCTTAACACTGTATTATGATGACAGCAATAAGCAATAAAGAAATAGGGCGGCCAGGTGGCTCAGTTGGTTACAGCGCATGCTCTTAAAAACAAGGTTGCTGGTTTGATTCCCACATGAAACGGTAGGCTACGCCCCCCACAACTAGATTGAAAGCGGCGACTGGACTTGGAGCTGATGGGCCCTGGAAAAAACACACTGTTCCCCAATTAAGTTAAAAAAAAAAAAAGAAGAAAAAGAAAAAGAAATAGTTCAGGGCATGGGCTCTGGAGCCAAACTGCCTGGGTCCAAATCCCACCTCTGCCAATTACTAAATGTGTGATGGAGCTGAAATATACTCGACCGATTCCTCAATAGCTCAATAGCTTGAACACTGAATTACCCCACAAACCCACTCCTAAATGTACACCCAAAAGAATTGGAAACAGGTGTTCAAACAAAACTTGTACAAAAATGTTCACAGCAGCACTATTCACAATCACCAGAAGATGGAAACAACCCAAATACCTATCAACTGGTAAATGGGTCAGCAAAATATGGTATATACATGACGAAATTATTCGGCCATACAAAGGAACGAAGTACAGGCGTACTTCGTTTTATTGCACTTCACAGATGCTGTGGGGCTTCTTTTGCAAATTGAAGGCAAGACCCTCCACCAGCAAAAAGATTATGACTCGCTTTACTGGGATACTCGCTTTATTGTGGTGGCCGGAACCCAGGCCCACAATATCTGCAGGGTATGCCTGCACATGCTACCTGAATGAACCTGGAAAATATCATGCTGAGAGAAAGAAGCCAGACATAGAGGGCCACGTGGTGTATGGTTCCATTTATATGCAACTCATGCCTGTCCAGCATAGGTAAACCCATAGAGACAGGAAGCAGATTCATGGTCACCAGGGTCACAGGAAGTGGGGGAATGGAGTGTGACTACTTACAGGGTACAAGGTTTCCTTCGGGGGTAATGAAAATGTTCTGAAACTAAATGGTGGTGGTTATACAGCACAATTGTGATTGTGCTAAATGACACTGAATTGTATGCTTTAAAATTGTTAAATGGGGCCGGCCGAGTGGCACGTTGGTTAAGAGCTGACTTGGGACGCCAGCTCTGAGCAGCAGGGCCCCGGTTCGGATCCCACATGAGGGCCAGTGACACTGCCCTCTACAGCTAAGATCGTGAACAACAGCTCGACCTGGAGCTGGGCTGCCATGATTCAGCTACCGTGTGTGGCTGGCAACCAGCGTGAGCAGCCGGCAGCCAGTGTGAGCTGCCAAGAGCCGCCGTGAGTGGCCGTCCAGAGGCCGGCGACCAATCTACCTCATACGGGAAGAGCGCAATGATAATACCAGCATGGGCCAGTGACGCAACGTCCTGCACAACTAGACTGAAGAACAAAAGGACAGCAACCTGTCTATTCCTCTTCCCCGATTCACCAATGCTGCTCCTACCCCAATTCCCCAATAAAATCTTTAAAAAAATAAATAAGTAAAATCGTTAAATGGTACAATTATTTTTTAAAATTTTAAAGAAAAATTTTACTGTGCCTCAGTTTCCTCATCTGTAAAATGGAGGCAGGATTGTTGTGAGAGTTTTTTTTAAAAAGGAAAATAAACACTTAGAATTGTGCCTTGCACAGAGTGAGTACTCCATGTTAGCTGTCATGACTAGACTATGTGCTTGGTGCTTTATCTAGACCAGCACTAGCCAACAGAACTTTCTATAATCTGTGCTGTCTGGCAGGCTAGCATTAGCCACATGTAACTACTGAGCATTTGAAATATGGCTGGTGCAACAGGATCTGAATTTTTTCATTTTATTTTACTGTAATTAGCTTAAATTTAAATAGTACCAGTAGCTACTGGCAATTACAGCTCTATATCTTCTCACCAAATCCTCAGAACAACCCTTTGAGGTCAGTATTTTTATCCTCATTTTAAAGACAGGTTAAGTGTTTTATCTAAGACCACAAAACTGGAGCCCAGGACTCTGACCTGGAGCTGAAAGTGAAAACAATTTTGCCTGGCTCCAAAGCTTATATATTCTTCCCGCTGTCCTAAGCTGTCTTCCTCAGAAGGGATGGTTTTGGACACAAGTTGAGGACTTCCTGTAGGGAAGCTCCAGGAGGGCTTCCAAACAAGGGCTATGTTGAAACACTAGGCAGAAAAGGCAACTCAGCAGCTAAGAGGAGGACGCGTTACAAAGCAAAGGTAGCAAGACATATGGACTGTCCTTGTCGCTTCCTCAGTCACTCCCAGCATCCATCCCAGTCTCTGCCGTCTACTTGCCTAGTCGATCTGTAGCCTTCTCAATCTCTTGCTCCCGACCGGAGTGGTCATCTGGGACAAAGCCAGCCTGCGGGAAGAAGAAACAATTACCCAGGACTTAGATGTCTGGGGTACCCCAGTATGAAGCTCTTGGCTCTCAGACGCAACCCTACCCTTTCATACTCCCCCCATTTGTGAGTGGGACTGGGACTCTGCTACCCGCATTTGTGCTATGCCCTGTTCAGTCAGCAAGGCTGGAGGGAGAAGGGCCTTGCTCCTTCCCAGTCCTATAGGCATCACCCCAGTGACACTTCACCCCTGGCAGCAAGAACGTCTTCCTATAGCGGCCGCTGAACCCAGCTTAAAGTTTGCCAAAACTTGCAGAGCCAGCCTCATCACCCAGCCCTCTCTTCAGAGGTCTGACTCCCAGGACCTCAGG